CACCATCACCGAGAACTCGGCTTGACCTTATAATTTCCTGTACATGTCCCCTCCAGTTACCGTCCTCTACTAAAAGAATTACTATATTCCCATTCGTCCTATAATGTTATTTATTCTTCTTACTTCTGACTTTACGTTCTCGATCTTTAACAAAGGCTCTCCCTATCATCTTTTCCCCATGAACCTACCAATGTTTATTCTTCCGTGCCGCTTCCTTTTTCCCAATCTTTTTTTGATATATATTATTCTTCTCCCTTTTTTCCCTTTCTTTTTCTATTTTGTCTCTCTGCACTTTCCCTCCCTTGATTTCTCTGCACATATTTTTCATCCCCTTTTTACAACCAGTCCGACTAATTGTCTGCTGGCACGACTCTTGATGAACCCATCTGCACCACAGTCCTCGGAAGCAAAGGCAAACAAACAAACAACACCCCCTACAAATTTAACCAAACCCAACCACCCGTCGAGCTAACCAGAGGTACAGCAGTCGAGTGGGTAGACCCACTGCATTGGAATCCACCAAACACCTGGAACCGTTCCGCAAGACATAGGAGCGAGCGCGAAGAAATCAATTAGCTTACACTAGCTCGTTGAAAGATATTGGATATCCTCACTTTTTTTCCGTTGCTCTCTCAGCATATATTTTCAGTTTCGAATACGAGGTTACTGCGGTACTTTATATCTGGAATATTAAATTTTAGAGAGTACTGCCAACTTCAGTTGTTTTTCTAAGCTAATTGTGCCTGCAACAGATTTTGCGAAACATAAATGCACTAGCTCCTGCGCGGAAAGTGGTTTCACCTAAACCTCTGAGTTATAGGCGCTTAGTAGTGGTTTATGTTCTGTATTTTTTAAAATTGATATCTCAGGTAAACGTCTCAATATTGATATGTACATAGAGCACATAAAGTGTCTTTAGGTGGTTAGCTAAAGCAAGAATTGTTGCTTCATTATTAACAATAAAGTTATTTTGCACTCATAGTCGAACGTTTCGGATTTTATTTTATAACCCGAAGTATGTGTTGTAAAGTTTATTTGGGTGACTGGGATACGGCTAAATTTCTCGGACACCTTGCACTCGAGTATGGCCCAAACTTAGTTTGTACTCTGGCGCTTAGATACTACAAAATTACTTAACACCACGATATTCATTGACTTTCGTATCTGCGGTTGGGGATGTTTAAAAACCGTATTCCTTTTTTCATTTGCCGAACGACACCATTGCTCACTGCAGATTCCCAATTGATTTGTTTCTAAACAATTCAAAATTCTAAAAGGTTGGAAGCTATGATTCAGCCTCTAAAGATTACCTCCCGAACCGTGTCTGTTGTTTATATGAGAATTATAAGCAAAAGATGGTGAATATCGTTTCTTTCCCTACATAAGTTACCTCACACTCGAGATTTCCTTTTGGGAACATTCTGTTTATTAACGCTAGGTTTAGCATTACTCACGTAACTGCACGTATTAGGCAACTTCGAGGTCGTAAACACGCAACCCAACTGGGAAAACCAGCAACATTACTTCTTCGAACCTACCAAACTACCTCTAACATGCGGTTCTTCGTTTTCGCAGATTCCTTAGCATTTATTTCTCTTTTGAGGTCGTTCTCCAAAAAATGTATCCCGTTTCCAGAGAGGCATCTGCAGCTCACTGTTAGACTTACTGGTAGAATACAGACAGCCAAATGACCAGTATGTGAGGGTAAGCTGACACAAAGTTTTTTACGTTCTGTTGTTCCACTACTTTTCTCTACAACCGCATATGGTATTTTTTAAAAAACATTTTCATGGTGATTCAAAACAGTCGGTCCTAGGTGGTGACAATAAAAGCGATCCCCATACCTACAGGAAAAACTTTATCTCGTGAGAAAACGTCTAACTGTAGCACAAGCCAAGTAGTGGAGAATCCGAGCACTGATGCCTCTTTATCAAACACCCATAGATGTCATGTGCATAACAAACAGCAGCTCCCTTATGCTACAAAATAGTCGCAAACATGGTGGATAACGACTCACGCCAACCACCCTGAATTATATATCTCCAACTCGACATCAGGAAACTGCGAACCAGGAAATGTCATAAAAAACAATCAGGATGCTCCGGATATCGAAGTATCAAGATCAGAGGAGAAACTATGTCCCAAATGTACTTGAAAGTCATATATTTTACCGGTGATGAAGACAAGTCACAGGAAAGCCAACTCCACTATCTTGTTTAGTGTCTATATTTCAACAGACGATTGATTCAGAAATAGTAGTTCGACTAGACATGGGTCAAATACTGTCAAGCACTAGAGTTTTTTCCTCTCCCCGCGGGGCTTGTCTTTCTCGAGGCAGACGAGTACCTTGAAACAAGCCATTGAGACTGGTAGTTTTTCTTAGACTGCGACTTGTCGTAGTCATTCAGAGATGAAAGGAGGAAAATTCTAGTTTAGAATTTAAACAAAAATACCACAGAGGTTGTTCTCGGTATTTCGGAACTGCCAAGCGATCACTGCTAAAGAGCGATACCTCCATAACACCAAACTGTGGCAAGCAGACAAAGTTGGTTTAAACGACCTACTGGCAAACAGCGTTTGTAGACTGCTGTGACCACCACACCCTATAGTCTATTCCAACCCCCAAATTACTCGCCACCCAATTTGACTTATATACATCCCTCACAGAGGCTCTACAAGCTTGGTATGAAATGAAAGACCATGTAGCAGGCGCGGTATGGCTTATGAGGATAAGTCAAGGCCAACCAAGCAAGAATGTGGGCGGAAACCACCAAGATCCCTTCAGTCAGTGGTTGTTGCATAAGGAAAAACTTGTCACTCAAGTGCCCCAGGCTCTGCAACTTCTATTGCCATGGTCTCCTCACAAACTGAACCTCAAACTGCCAAAAACTGATTATGCCAGTCTTATGAGGACTGTCAACCTAAGGTCGAAACACAGCCATGGTGACACCCCTATCACAGACCATAAGTGATTACCTCACACATGCACCTTGGCCTGAGAACTGGAGCCTTACAATAGATGACAACTAGAAACAGGTGACAGAAATAATTTTTGAGGCCAATCACCTAAGCCTGCCATGGATAACTCACCTACTATCACTGAGACCTTTATGGCTAAGGTGTGATGGAGAGGTTACTCCAGACTAAATAACAAATGTAAGTCAAGTGGCACTCATAAATTGGAAAGTCAAATTTCCTGACCTACCGAAGAATTCACAACCCATGCAAGGTAAAATTTCGCACGCAAAGGCGTAGCTATCAGTCAAACTCAACAACAAAGTTACAAAGTAACTCGAAAAACCTGTATCGCTTCATATAGGAAAAAAAATCAACTAACAAAGATGTTAATCTCATACCAGCCCCAACGAAGATGCACTGAGCCTTTCAGAAATAGCTGAGCTTCCGATTTCAAGCACACCTTGATAATTCCAACACTAAATCCACACTGGTGCAAAATGCCATCGAACGGATTGATGAGAGTAAATGCTTATGTCACATTCCCATCCCTAAGCATACAAAGTCAGAAAAGCTATCAATTCAACTCCACTGGATGCGGCTGCTGAAACTAATAGTCCTGAATCATTGCTCAAACAGACAAAATCAAAGTAGAACCTCGCACATCAGTTCAAGTTACCACACTTCATAGTAGTATACAGAGACTGTTGGGTAGAATAAGTGATGTCAAAGTTGTTTAAGAGAATAAACAGTCTGAAGATAAAGGTTAGCGCGGATACTCAAGCTTTAGAAGACGTCAAAGGAAATACATCTGCACCACTGCGACCGATTTGTCATCCATGTCATCAACCACTGATTTCTATCGTCTCAGGAACTCCAACCAGGCAGTCTACATCCCCACATACGGCTCAGACCAACAGTGAGATACTCCATCAAATGGAGCAACGCTTCGGTCTGAACCCCCTGAACACTTCCAACCTAGTCCAGCTTCCCCTAACATTGCACGTTGAGGTAGGCGGTGGCTCGCCATGCACAGTACGTGTTCAAGCCATCTCATCTAATGAAGGTTCACAACCCCGTCAATCCAACCTGCCTGTATCCTTCGCCTGATTTCAACATTGCTCACATGGTGATCCCACCATACACGAGCAATGCTACAAAAACATTCGTAATCAAAACCCTGCAGTCGCTGTTGAGTACCTAAAAAGGTTGTAGTTTGGTTTTGCAAGCACCTTAGCGGTTTTTTAGGATCACCGGTTTTAGGTTATCGCAGCCAGGGGACTTGCCTGGACGTAACCTAGATAGTTTCTCCGGCACTTTTTTTCTCTGTGATTGAGATGTAACAGAGGTATTCGTTATTTAAGGCCTGGTCGGTGTGGATTTGGAGTAAGTATATAAACACACACTCGTAATGTTTGAGTGATCTAGTTTTGTACGTTTGTATTTCCAAGAATAGTTAGAAATTCTCACGTTGTTATAGATTATCTTGCATTTTACCGAAATATTATGTAATTACGAAAATATGTTCTTATTTTTGAAGAGTAAGGAGGCAGAGGCACTAATATAGAGACTTATTACATACACATTACACATCGGCTCAACTCACGATGACGTGACGTATGAAGGTACGTTTACTTTTAGCATTAGGACTCACTAGGTGTCACGCATGCTCTTAATAAAATTGTAACTCACCTGAAATTTTTACAAGCTCTCAGACAGTTATTCTAACCTGATGCGATACTTCTCTTTGACTCTACTGCAAAACTTGGACAAATACCAGTCATCAGAGCTGTTGTACGGGACAGGTATTCAGTGAAGTGTGACCGAGTTTGAAGTCATACTCTGTTGTCAAAGGGAAGAACACTTTCATGCTACCAGATATTCCCTGCTTATTCAGTCTGGCGATGGAAATAATAAAGGCGAGTTTGGTAATATTGTGAGGTTATATTTACACGTACGTATCCCTGTGACCCAGAGAAAACCCAGATCTATATATAATATAAGTGGCGGCTTTCAAGGCAGATTTAAGTGAGTTGACGACTGACTTGCTTCGTATATACTCCGCAATGAAACCAGCGGCAAAAGCATCTCCAGCGCCATTTGTGTCCACAATCCGATAGGCGTCCAGCTGATTGACTGGGAATTCATTGACCTTTAGGTCAGAAGATTCAACATACACGACGGCATCTTTGCCCTGTGTAATGATGACTAAACGATTACTTTTCTTTTCAGCCGCAAACGGTCTGCTGGCTATATACTGAGCTACTCCATGTACTGTTGAATCAGAAAGGTCATGGGCTTTTCCATACGCTAGCACTTCGGAATGATTTCCAAAAACAATGTTTGCGTATGCTATCATTTCATCCACTTCTTGAGTCTTGAATTGAGGTAAAAAAGGAGCACTCAGATTGAAGCAGAACATTTTGCTGGAAGCCAATGCATGTTTAACCACTTCAAGCATGCCTTCATAACAAGAAGATATTACATAACCCTTAAAAATAATTGAATGTAACAATATACGGACCTACTGCAATGTAGTACACACGTGCCCTCTCCACGAGTTTCCAAACGTGTGGCTGTTTAATATGGTCCACAGAAAGATCACATGCTGCCCCCAAATGAGTAACCATACTGCGGTTTTTCTTGTTGATTAGAACTGCTACTTTTCCAGTTTCTACAGATTTCTTTGTGACTTGAAATTCTGTTGTCAGTCCCAAAGCTTGACATTCATTTTCAATACGTCTGCCCATCTGGTCCTCACCTACACATCCCACGTATGAACATGAAAATGGTTTTTCCAGTATCCACTGAATCATTTTAACTGTGTTCAACGTAGATCCTCCAGCAACGTATCTTACATCAGGTCTTTTCATCACTTCCGTGTAAAGACTCATATGCTTTGCTTCAGCCAGTATTGCATTATCTGTTTCCAGACCGTAAGATTTAAGCAGTTCTTCTTCAGCGCTACATAACATATCCAACAACGGATTACCCATGCCAAAAATATATCCTGCCGGGATTGTTGCCATGATGACTGAATGATTTTCGAACTGTGCGGTCACAATATACCAATTTTTAACATTTAAGGCGTAGCCAATGACTGAATAGTTTTACATTTCTAAAATGTGATTGGTGATCTGTAGGTCATATTTTTACTTCCCTTGTTCTTATTGGGCGTTTTTTGCGTTGGCTCGTAACGTAGGCGTATTTTTCAGGTGACCAGAAAATTGAATTGTTTGAACTGCCTGATGTTTCACTAACCTTTATTAAAAGCATTTTTGATGCCTTCTACCTTGAAAACACTTCCTAACCTTTGGGGCATTCGCCTTTTGCCGTTTACACCAGTGTTTGCTTTCCATTTCAATTGTCCATATGAGTTCTTTCTACAACAGATGATTTATATAGTTCTATTCTTCGCTGCTTCGAGACAGTCACCTTCGTATTCGTGAAAGTTCATCTCTTAAGGCTGTGCGAAATTCTTGTCACTATTCCATTGAGTTATCTGATTTCGATGCACTGAACGTCTACACGGAAATTTATAACCACGCTCAGTACCAGCTAAGAGATTATCAGCGAAAGATCATTGGAGCACTCAGGTATCCTGTCAGCTCAAACTGATAGTTTCGTAGTGCGAATTTCCTGTTTTATTGACAGTGGGTTTAAATCCAGTGGGTTTCTTTTGAGAGGCACCCTATCGAAATCCCAGATTATGATCTGTTACAAAAATGTCCTTAACTAACGGGATATACTACTGAATAGCATATTTAGGAAGTCATTTCAGTCGTTTGATGTTCATTTCAGAAGATGATTATCGTAGGCAGTGTCTGATGGAAACCCTTTTGACACTGCAGTTGGGCGGTAGGAAACACTACTCAATTTCGAGGAGTTTCAACCAGGTCTTTCCATCTTGTAAATGGTTCTCCAACTTAGTAAGAGGTATTGACTGCTCTCTGTGTTCACTAAGTTTCTTTGTGTGCATCAATGCAATCTTTTATATCACGAGAAAAATACCAAAGAATGGACAACTATTAATTTATTGCTTACAAAGAATAACACTTGCCTACATGAGATATTTAAGTTTAAATGAGCACAGATCGGAATTATCTTTTATGTAATCAAAAATCATCTGAAGGTGAGTGGTTATTTTGTTAGCTAAACCGGGTTTATTCTGTTTCTACTGTTGCTCTGTTAAACAAAGTACTAATAACAGTGGTATTTTCCTGTTATATACGCGGATTTAAACTGGGTTCTACTATCAAATTCTGCGTATATTCACCTGTCCATTAATATGGGAATTGTTAAATAAGGATATAGCTGGGTTGCAGTTATGTAACAACACCTTGTTTTAGACTTATTTAAATTTGAACTTGAAGCTTTTCATACTTACAAACCACCGGTACCCAAAACTCAATTCTATACTGGGTATTTTAAAACTTTCAAATAGCTATAGATGTTTGTTAGTAAACTGCTATTATTATTTACCCTTGGGTTCCTAGTGGAACACAGGGCTTCAGTAGCACGTCTCCATTGCACTCTGTTCTCTGAAATCTTTTTAACCTTCCTCCACGACTGCCCAGAAGCTTTCATTTCTTCCTCATATCATCTCCTCCATGTCACCCTCGCCTCAGACACCCAACTCGCCGTTTCCCATTTGGGGTCCACTCGAGAACCTGGCCTGACGCGTGATGTCCCCGAACGGTCTTCTCAGTGTATGCCCAATCCATCTCCACTCTCTTCTTCATATTTGTTGGGTGATGGGTTGTTGGTTGGTTGGTTGCCGCCAACCAGAGTTCCTTGTTGCTTATTCTTTCTGGCCATCTAATCTTCAGTAACGAGTGTAGGCAGTTGTCGATATCTGCAGTTTGTTGGAAATGCCTATCGTAATGTGACAAGTCTCTGAACCATATAGAAGCACTGACTTGATTGAATTACTGTTGAAAATCCTAATCTTGTTCACGCTTTATGCTAAGTGCAGTAGATCTCCACACTGGTTTCAGGTTAATGAACGCCTGTCTTTCCTATCCTGGCCTTGACGTCTTCATCTGTGCCACCTGTAGTTGAAACGTTGCTGCCTAAGTGGCTGAAATAGACTACTTCCTTTAGGTTTCTCCTGTTAGTGGTGATTGGTGCTTGTTGTTGGTTGGGTATCTTCACCACCTCTGTCTTCTCTACGTTCACTTGAAGTCCCGTCTTCACTGCTCTGCCTCTTCTGTCAACTTGTTGGATTTCGCCTGTACATCTTCGAGTTTGTGCGACATTAGACACGAGTCATCGGCGAAATCCAAATCTTCTAGGATCTTTTCCCCGGTCCAGCGTATCCCCCTCTTCTCACTCCTCACGGTTTGTTGCATGGACCAGTCCAGTCCACTACAATCATGAATATCATGGGTGATAGAAGGCAGCCTTGTCTTACTCCTGTCTTCACTTCAAAGTCATGACTGAGCTTTCCATTGTGGATCACTTGGTGTGTGGCGTTTTCATATAGCTGTTGAATGAGGTTGATAAAGATTAGTGGGCACTCCGTAGTGTTGAAGCAACTGCCAAATTACTTCTGGGTGGAGGCTGTCGAAGGTCTTTTCAAAGTCGATGAAGTTGAGGTAGAGAGCTGACTGCCATTCTATGCTCTGTTCTATGTTGATGCGTAGCGTTAACTAGCGTTCACTAGTTACTAGCCGGTCTTAAGCCTGGATAAAGAGGGAAGATTGGGCATGGGGCTAGCAACCCTACCCCGTGAAACCAATCCAATCGCTAAAGAAGCCGATTGTGGGCTACCATTATTACTAGAAAATCAATTTTTTCGTTGTAATTATCAGATCATGATCCGACTAGTTGCTTTTTTTCACACTCTAAACATTACTTTTCCCTTAGATTTCCACAATGAGCTCAGAATGGATTATAAACTATTCACAACTCCTGTCTGTATAGATTAGGTACCAAGAATTTTAGATGCTAGAAGAGGCCAATTTAAAAGTAAAAGAAAAGGTTGCTTATTAGAAAGTATATTGTAGATGACCAAGAGGTAATGAATAAGTATAACAAGTAAAGTGAAGACTAAAGAAAGAATGTGCTAAAGTAGTGTAAATGCTAGGTCAGCTGAATGAAAGGATGATAAGTCGGTGGTCAGCGACTCCTCCTTTGTGTTATTGATAGATCATCCATGCTTCAATGTTGCACCACTAGCAAGTGATCTGTACGACAGTAAAAAAAGAGCATAAATTAGCACTCAAATCCTCTGGCTACTTTAATGATGTATTTTCCTAACTTTTGTTGAAAGTGTAGGTAAATTAAGGCAAGCAGGTTGTATCTCGTAAAAGTTTAAATAAAACATTTCTTAATATGGTCCCTACTATTTAAATCCATTCGACTATATCTGCTTTACTTTTGGAACATGGGCACACTGCTTGGATCCTAGATTCCTAGTGAAGTGTGGTGTATGTCTTGCTTAATATTGTAAACATTTCTTCATCAAATCCGTGAAAACCCTTACAAACACCATGTAAGACTTAAAAAAGCCTTTTCAGCCGACGATCTACAGTATGCTATGGTTTCAGGATCATGACTTACAATGACAATGAAATCCTTATATTAAGAATCCGTGGTTATTAGCCTATCATTAATCGCTTGGTCATGTGCAGTGTCATGACTGATATGCAGCGATGCACTCTCACTGACGTCTGACTGCCGTTACCATCTACTGCACCACTCCACCATTGTATTGAGTTTTTTTATGTAAAAATAGCCCGTTACAGCCATTCAAAGTTTAACATCGTCTACCCCGTCATATGATATTAGCATTAGTAGGTTTAGGGTGTGGAGCTGTGGTGCATAAGACTAGGCACGCTTTCTAATTAGTGGATGATGGACTCGAACGTAGCTCCAAACCAAAACATGGTATGAGTTGGTGAAACCTCTGACTGTTGGTCTCAGCGGTTTAGGGGAATGTAGATTTCCCCGTTGGTGCCTGCGTGATAACCGAGATCAGTGGTTGCACACTCTAGATGATATGACTCAGAATCGATCTCAGTGGCACAGATGCATCTACACATCCTCATCTTAATCGTTATGCTGAATTCCATCATTATTTTGTCCCTTCCTGTCTTCTCAACGAATTCCCACTACATTTGACTATTTCCGGCCTTACTTCTTTATCTTTCATTACGTTGCCTCCTACATTGATGGGTTGATATTAGGTGTGGTAACTTGGACCATTGCACGGTAATCCTAGGTCCCACGTTTGTGATAACTGACTGGAAGTTTAACATCGGCTGCAAACATAGGTTATAACGACTTACCTTTTATATGTAGTAAGAAGTTAAGAATGCCTGAAGTTGTATCTTGAGAAATGCTACTCTGAACTGGTTCTCACCATTATAATACTTCGTTTAACCCTATCTCCTACACTAGGAATGTTCATAACCGAATCTCTCTTTTATTAATTCTAAAGCTTTCCAGCTTCCCTAGAAGTCTAGAGCGGAAAACATTATCAAGAGCCTTACTGAAATCGATAAATGCTATATCCACAGGTGCTTTTGCACTATTGGATGTGACCCATTCTTCTGTTGCTAAGCCGAGGTTTCTCGAGCAAAAGTAATCAATCTTAGAATGGATTCGAAATCTACTCAGAAACTACATGCACGTTCACGCAGTCGGCACTGTGTCACGCCCATTGAATGAGGGCTAATTGAACTACTTAGTTGCCAAGATCTTGGTAGCGAAGTTGGGTTTAAGCCCCTGACCTAACGCTTGATGTCGTTTCCTGGACCAAATAGGCTAACGCCTAGTCTCAAACGCATGCACTGGATTAGCCAGAAATCTAGTCATCTCGACATATTTTAGAACGCAGCTTAGTGACTAAGCTGGTCAGACTGAGGGGAAAGATACTTTTTTTCAAGCCCACTTTTATATACCGACCTGACAACAGCGTACAAAAACAGGTAAATGTAGATACACCAAAGGTAATCAGCAAAACAGATAATATAGCGGATGTCAATGAATAAAATCACTCATGGGACAAAAGGTCGAAATAAGGTATTACAAATCTCTCTTTTTTATTCTTTCTTCTTGTAAATCCACCAGTTGATCAGCGTTGGAATTAGACGTAGATTTTCAGTGAAAGGATGGAAATCCATAAATAAAATTTTAACCGTCCAATGTCTGTTATGTATACTAAACCATAGTTTTGATTTGCGTTAGACATTAGTTTCACTATGTTGGCAATGAATTCACAATAACCAAGTAAACAAACGCGTCTATGAGGTCAGCGACATTTTATATAACCCTGATCTGATTTATAATTACTTATTGGATAAAAAGACCAGCGCAATTTATCATATGAGTAACACAGGGAATCAAAACCAGGCATTAATGGTCACACGAGAACCGGGTAGTGGCGAGAAAAAAGTAGTTAGCTATTCAAATCTTCAAATAGACTAATCCTCTTAAGCGACCAACAGAAAATCATAATATACCATTCACAGGGACACTTCGTATAAAGGTAAAGATTGAGCATTGTCAGTCAGCATCAACATGGGACCTGGCGTTACCGCTAAACAGCCTAAGGTGACCACATCATATCAGCGCACCAAGTTGAGAAATAAAAATGAAAGCAGTTAAGGAAGGAAACTTAGTACCTGGAGACGAGAAAGAAACGAAACGATGGGCTGACCACTTGAAAAAACTCTTGAATCGACCACCACCTGCACTTCGTCCAGAAGTGCCACCTGCAGGCGCTGAACTACAAGTGAACATAAATCCTCCAACGAAAGTAGACGTCCTGAGCACCATAAAGCTACTGAAATGCGGGGAAGCAGCAGAACCAGATGCAATTCCGCCAGAAGCACTAACAACAGATGCGGGAACAACAGCAGACATGCTCACGCCGCTATTGCTGAAAGTCTGGAAGGAAGGGAAGGTACCTGGCGATTGGAAGAAGGGTTACCTTGTCAAAGTCCCAAAGAAGGGAGACCTAAGTCTTTCCAAGAATTGGCGCGAAATCACGCTCCAGTCGACTCCGAGCAAAATACCAAGCTGCATCATCCTGGAGAGGCTAAACACTGCGCTGGATTCAAATGGTAGAAATCATATTAAGAAATGTTTTATTTAAGCTTTTACGAGATACAACCTGCTTGCCTTAATTTACCTACACTTTCAACAAAAGTTAGGAAAATACATCATTAAAGTAGCCAGAGGATTTGAGTGCTAATTTATGCTCTTTTTTTACTGTCGTACAGATCACTTGCTAGTGGTGCAACATTGAAGCATGGATGATCTATCAATAACACAAAGGAGGAGTCGCTGACCACCGACTTATCATCCTTTCATTCAGCTGACCTAGCATTTACACTACTTTAGCACATTCTTTCTTTAGTCTTCACTTTACTTGTTATACTTATTCATTACCTCTTGGTCATCTACAATATACTTTCTAATAAGCAACCTTTTCTTTTACTTTTAAATTGGCCTCTTCTAGCATCTAAAATTCTTGGTACCTAATCTATACAGACAGGAGTTGTGAATAGTTTATAATCCATTCTGAGCTCATTGTGGAAATCTAAGGGAAAAGTAATGTTTAGAGTGTGAAAAAAAGCAACTAGTCGGATCATGATCTGATAATTACAACGAAAAAATTGATTTTCTAGTAATAATGGTAGCCCACAATCGGCTTCTTTAGCGATTGGATTGGTTTCACGGGGTAGGGTTGCTAGCCCCATGCCCAATCTTCCCTCTTTATCCAGGCTTAAGACCGGCTAGTAACTAGTGAACGCTAGTTAACGGTACGCATCAACATAGAACAGAGCATAGAATGGCAGTCAGCTCTCTACCTCAACTTCATCGACTTTGAAAAGACCTTCGACAGCCTCCACCCAGAAGTAATTTGGCAGTTGCTTCAACACTACGGAGTGCCCACTAATCTTTATCAACCTCATTCAACAGCTATATGAAAACGCCACACACCAAGTGATCCACAATGGAAAGCTCAGTCATGACTTTGAAGTGAAGACAGGAGTAAGACAAGGCTGCCTTCTATCACCCATGATATTCATGATTGTAGTGGACTGGACTGGTCCATGCAACAAACCGTGAGGAGTGAGAAGAGGGGGATACGCTGGACCGGGGAAAAGATCCTAGAAGATTTGGATTTCGCCGATGACTCGTGTCTAATGTCGCACAAACTCGAAGATGTACAGGCGAAATCCAACAAGTTGACAGAAGAGGCAGAGCAGTGAAGACGGGACTTCAAGTGAACGTAGAGAAGACAGAGGTGGTGAAGATACCCAACCAACAACAAGCACCAATCACCACTAACAGGAGAAACCTAAAGGAAGTAGTCTATTTCAGCCACTTAGGCAGCAACGTTTCAACTACAGGTGGCACAGATGAAGACGTCAAGGCCAGGATAGGAAAGACAGGCGTTCATTAACCTGAAACCAGTGTGGAGATCTACTGCACTTAGCATAAAGCGTGAACAAGATTAGGATTTTCAACAGTAATTCAATCAAGTCAGTGCTTCTATATGGTTCAGAGACTTGTCACATTACGATAGGCATTTCCAACAAACTGCAGATATCGACAACTGCCTACACTCGTTACTGAAGATTAGATGGCCAGAAAGAATAAGCAACAAGGAACTCTGGTTGGCGGCAACCAACCAACCAACAACCCATCACCCAACAAATATGAAGAAGAGAGTGGAGATGGATTGGGCATACACTGAGAAGACCGTTCGGGGACATCACGCGTCAGGCCAGGTTCTCGAGTGGACCCCAAATGGGAAACGGCGAGTTGGGTGTCTGAGGCGAGGGTGACATGGAGGAGATGATATGAGGAAGAAATGAAAGCTTCTGGGCAGTCGTGGAGGAAGGTTAAAAAGATTTCAGAGAACAGAGTGCAATGGAGACGTGCTACTGAAGCCCTGTGTTCCGTTAGGAATCCAAGGGTGAAATAGCATAATAATAATTTATTTTATTTCTTATTTGGGATTGATAACCGTATTCTTTTCGAGGTGATGACTCACTATTCTTTAATAAATGGGCCTAAGATTTTGTGGTATTCGCATCCTCCAATTCGTTTTCTGTTAAGTACTAAATGGAATTGGTTGGTAGTTTATAGTTATTGAACTTTTTTGTATGTTTCATTTTTGAAGGAACATTACCCTCCTAGATTATTTTTCGATAATTTTCTCCTTGTTTAATCTTTCAAAACAATTTAATTGAAAAGACACTGTTTTGTCTCTGTCTAGTAGTACTTGTCTAAACCAACTGATTTTCCGACTTGATTCCAGCACTGACCTTGCACCTGATCAATCTCTCACATACTTGCCACCTCTCGTGTACATAATCCACCTACACGACGAATCACACAATTTGATGCCTTTGATCTCTTCCAACAGAGGACAAAGTCTTTTGCCCATCCTCCGTATATTGCTTCAGTCATCTGATCCATCTGCATAAACAACTGGGATTCTTGTCCACGACGCCCCATAATTCCTAAAAAGGAAACAACCGATTTCATGCACAGGAAATGAGATAATGCTTAACAATTGTTCTCACTTAAATACTGATTATTTCAGAACTGTAAGTCATGCAGAAATCCATGAGGCGTCATTCAGAAGCTCTTCTGTTCAGCTATACAATGATGCTACCAAACAAGTATTGAGTAAAGTGCTTTTAAAGGTAAATGAAATGAAGCCACCGAAAGTACTTATTTAAGATCCATGTTTTCCGTTTGTGAGTATTTTTCACAGTTTGTCGGAAAGGAAAATATTCTGCCGTACAATACTTTCTATTAGACGATTGTTCAATAGTTGGTCAGTACAGTTGTCAGAAAGTTGTTTACACCACTTTATGATAATAACCTCAAATAATTTACTGATTCATAATCAACACAAACATTAATGATCGATATGTATTTTGTTTACATTTTTTATAACCAATCCTTTTTGTCAATGAATATGAGAATACTTATAAGTGCATAGATCACTGGAGAATTACAGATTGAAAAAATGATTGTATTATTTTTTTTTAAACAGCTAAAATATACCTCGTACTAGATGCTCTTACTTTTACTCGTTTGACTGTTAGTGTAGTTTGTATACTACTGACATGAATGCTACCATATTTTATATTTTATTTCAGTGTCATTTAATGCACTCACGGATATATGTATGCCTTCATTACAGGACCAAATTCAAGATCCAAGTGCAAACATTTTTCATCGTTCATTACATCTAACTGCTGATAAAACAAAAATAGCTAAATGTTTATCTGAACTGGCGGAAAAATATGGAAGTTTAGTTAGTATTGGATCATATCCGGCATTTCATCATAACAGGTAATTCTATCTACTTTTGTCTTGATACTGTTTAAGCCTATACGTATATTTGAGAAGTTTGTTGTTAGTTGTTTTGAGTGGGAAGAGCCACTTTTAGTTTTTAACTGACTTAATTCAGCCATCTTAAAACATGTTATCGCTCCGTTAACAGGTTATTTTTAGTCAATAATCTTAGTCTATCAGTGGAATGTTCATGTTATGGTATTAAAGGGAATTCATGATCTTCCAATTAATTCATCCTATGCCTCTCATAGCTTTTGTATCACTATGGTTTTGTTTTAATATTTAGCTGAATGTTGTAATAATTTGAAATTTCTAGTTAATGTACATACGCACAGCTTTATTAACATCTCCATAACACAATCATTTGACATACACTTTCTTCAGTTATTATAAATCACTCCATTCTCCAGTAGGTTACTTCCAAGAAGTTATTTTCGCGAGTTTGTTTCAAAATCAAACTTTTTCCGGGAATTTTTAGTGACTATGGTCTGGATGTTTATAAACTGTTTTACGCCTAAGCATCTGGCTTCGTATTTCTTCAGTGCTACATGCAATAAGAGGAGTTTATTACTACTAATTTGCCTAGTTATACAACAGAAAGAAAATTAGATAATAAAGTACTGAGTTTGGGAGATATATTTTGACGTTGTTTATTTGGATGTAGGGATTGTGGAAACATGATTCTTGTCAGTGGGAAAATATATGCCGGTAACAATGATCAAATATCTTGTAGTAGTTCATCTGGAATTCTAATTTGTTTATCTTTGATATATATATATATATGCTTAGTGCACTTGGAAAACAGAATGACCAGTCTTTAACATTTTGAAAGTGTTGAGGATTTTGATAAAACAATAAAAAGACGTAATTTATCTGAATCGCATGGTGTATTTACGCAATACATTTCGAACAATCAGATCACACACTCGTTATTTGGCTGTTATATTGAAAATTTCAGAGTTAAGGGGTAGGGAAATGAATATCGGTCAAATGAGAAGACTATATTGAAGATCAAAATAACAATGAAAATAAATAAGAGGACAACAACAAAAAAAGCAATAGAACATTATCCTTGGGTTCAAAGCCGAATATACCATGGAAAGTTTAATGTTATGAGGAATTATTTTTGAACGCATAAAGGTGGCTTAAACATTCTAATGACTGGTGCCTCAAGAAATTTTAAAATACATCCCCAACAGGTTTTATAGATAGACTTAAGGGACGTTTGTAAATCTATTTTATGTCTCGTTTCAATAATATGTTTAGCCATTGAGGCACTCGCATGTTTGTTTCTACCATCAATTTGGTCAGATGACTCTATTTGTTTCTAAAGCCACTTTGGAATATGTTCTGTTGTCCCTATTTCCAATGATCGATGAATCCTCCCTATGTATACAGTGAGATGTGACTTCATCTTTCACCCATTCCAAGGGCTTCGAACTTTCAATTATCCGAATCTTAGCTGCATAATATGTTTGACTATCATGCTATTCGTATCACTAGTGTATAGTAGCTTGATAATGCACTTTTTTTAAGCACAGTTAGACAGTGTTTCTCAATGTTCTATCCACTTTATGTGGATTGGTAAATTTTGTTGGGCGGTTAGTCTCGAACAATGTCTCCGTCAATGATCTTGTCTCTTCTTCCAACGTACTGAGTATGTGCATTCGTTGAATTCGATCAAATAAAACACCTAACTAAACCCCGTTTTTACTAGACCAGATAGAAACTGTGATAATTTAAATACTATCTTCCCTAAGTTTTTCTGTAAACAGATCGTTCTGTCGATCCATCCTGCCGTCGATTGATCAAGACGTCTAAGAAAGAAACAGTTATGGTTCTATTCTACACGTGTCAAAGATATGCTATTCTGTACTTCGATCATTCGATTCAGACTGAAGTAGCACAGCATAGATCACTTATGATTAAGATATTTTCCAAAAATCTATAAAATAAAAGTTCAATTAAATCCTCAGATAACTTTTCAACATGCGATATATAAATATCTGCTAAAAGAGAATTCAAGGGCTTCTCACAGCTACACCTTCAGTTTGGCAAAAGTGTTCATGTTAAGCATGACACTATTTCTAGATTCGAACAAGTGTAACACTTAAGTCTCCTAACGTTGGTTATTTAGTTTTTATATTGGTATAAAATAAGATACGTTTTAAACAAAATTGCCTAACATATAGTATCATTGTTACGCATAAAATGGTGACTATTGTGACCATTTGACCTATGCGACTGACCTACATTCAATTGTTGGTTTGCTTGATTAACTTTCAATTTGTTGACCTCTTCGTAGTAGTCTGTAAATTGGGTCGCTGTTCACGTGCCCATTGATTGTCATTTGTTTGAGTGACTTTAAAGGCCACACTAAAAACAGTAACTGAAATAAACCAATTAGACTTCTTGATTTTATGAAAATTTGCCTTTCCACTTGATACAAAGAAGTTTCATTAGCTATTTCAATTTTGGAGTACAATGCTTCCGGGAATACTCTTGCAGTTTTTCACTTTAGATGTTGTAGTATTTCCACATTGTCCCAACGGAAGCTGTGGTTGTGCTGGTCTGTATACATTAATATGAATGATGATATATCATGTCGTTTGACTGCTAGTTGATGCTGTTGGATTCTTCGAGGTATTCGATAACTAAATTGACCAGAATAGTAATGTTGAGTCTTCACAACCGATTATGTAGAAAATACTCGTTTTGTCTTCAGCTTGCATAAGATATTCTGCAGGGATTCTATTAGTTTGATATCTAATGAATGAAATTAGTTAGTTGAGATATCTTTGATAAGTGGCAAAGTGATTCGTTTTGTGTTTTGAGGTTATCGTCCTGACGTATGTCCTGTTGATAGGCATTTATTGGTGAAGTTGATTGAATATCCATTGACTCGGAACACTTTGTAAAGTTGATTTTCCTCTCCTGACCCGTAGCTATTATGTTTACATGGTGATCGGGTTTGCTTATCTCAATGACCCAACGAGCTACACTGGCTGGAACGCCTTTTCCTTGAGTTCCAACCAGTCCAGAAATGTCTGTTGGATTGTGTGTGGTAAGGCGAAAAGCCACTATCGTAATGTAAACAGCGATCGTGTGGCGCAGCCCTGCAAACAAAGGTCTACTAGTGACTAGACGGAGTGTGACAACAGCAAGGTGTTTCTCATGGTTGATCAGTGGTACCATCCTGATGCTACCTTCCGAATAGTAATAGGGAGTAGGAAATGCCGACCCCAAACATTAGCGAACTCCTCCATGCCTTGTGGCATTCCGTTGGCATAGGTTTTTCTTGTCCGGCGTTAGCACAATGAAATTTCAGTTCGATAACCTTCAAAAATCTGTGTGTGACAGGCCACACCCTAGGATACTAGTCTGAAGACGGTGGCGAGTGAAACCATCACTGGAAAGTATGGTGCCCTGATAACCTGTGAAGACAGATTACTAGAACGTTGGGCAAGACACTTTGAAGGACAGTTCAACTAGCCCAAATCAAAGCTTCACTTGCTGACCATCCAGCTCGAAATTGAATGGGACGTACACGAGGTCTTCCAACCCTCCTGGAAATTGAGAAGGCTGCTAAAAACCTGAAACAATGCAAAGCAGTAGTGCTTGACGGTTTGTTGCAGGAAGTTTATGAGGATGGAGGTAGTGAATTATCGAGTAGAGTAACAGGGATACTAAGTCGTATAAGGGAATCACTGGTGGTGGTGTCAGATTGATCTACTTCATTAATTAAAGTAGTGTATAAGAAAGGAGAGAAGTTTTCTTGTGACCAGTTTGACTAGTATTGTGTCCAGGATCAATGATTCATAATTATCGGACGCCTAAGTGGAGCTGGAGCGTAGCACACTAAAAAACACAGATAGGTTTAAGACATAGGCGAGGGTGCTTCGTTCAATTTTTCACTCTTGGTCAGGTTATGGAACACAGGTATACTGGCCGGTGGTCGATACTTACTATATTTCTAAACTTGAAGTCGGTATGCAACTCTGTTACCAGATTTGCCAAGGGTGATAGGGTAGCACATGGTCTTATAGTCGTGTGTCAGGTCCAGTGTAAGTTATGTGCGACATGCTAGCTCTCCTTCCTGTATGTTTGTGGAGTTGTGGCTCATAAATGTAGTAATCTGACTTCAAACCGCTTCACCTACCGAGGTTTGAGCAGCCAGGTATTATCATCAGGTGTTACGCAACAGGTGTGACTTAATGCCTAATGCACGAAAGAGCATGTGGTTGCTGAGTGCATTTCATTTTTTCCACACGACTCTTGCGATCCAAACGTGTTGTGGCATTGTCTGATGGTGAAAGGAGTACCGAGCAAGTATGTAACGCTGATCGTGGCTCTTTACACAGAATCATGTGACCGTGTATTGGATTATGAGTTATCATCTGAAGTGACGACAACTAGTGGTGTTCGGCAGCGATGCTCACTGTCATCGTTCCTGTTCAGCTTTGTTATAAATGTACTAACGGACATAACCTTAGGTACTTCCGACTTCCCAGGGGTTGGTTTCCTTGAAGGTCATCTGGTTGACTGGGAGTATGCAGATGATATTGTCCTGGCAGGTGAAGACGGTGACAAAATGCAGGGTCTTCTGAACGCGTTGAGTAGACATCTGAGTATGTTTGGCATCTGTCAAATGTAGGATGATGCTTCATAACTGGTCTGTAGCCACTCGGAGTTTAATGATAGGGAGTGAAGTGATAGGATGCGTCGACCACTTCACTTACTTGGGGAGTTGCATCAGCTCACGAAACGAGATGGTTGCTGATGAAATCTCATCTCAGATACAAAAAGCCCGTTTGGCATTTTCCAACTTGTGTCATCTCTGGCGTCTACCGGTCAGATATCTGATTACCTTTTAAAGGACGAGTATGCTGCACTGCAGTTTGTTCTGTCCTATTGTACGGCTGAGACATAGTCGTTAAAGGTAGAAGACACGAAGCGACTACAGGGTTTTGATTACGAATGTCTTTGTAGCATTGCTC